AGTTGTCTAGGCAAAAATATCTCTATGGTTCAGTGTTTAAACAGTGAAAATACATCATGTTAGAAAAGCAACATTTGAAGTATATTAAAGTGTCTTAACTTTCTATTTTTAATAACATGAATCACCTGAATAGGCCAAGGTGTTAACTCAAATTTTTCTTGTCCAAAAATGTATGACCAAAAAATTACTCTTTCTGCAATGGTAGACATTACTATTGTTAATTATGGATTTTTCCCCTCACCTTTCAGTGCAGTAAGACATTTAACTTTTCTGTCCACAAAATTTTAATGACATTTGAACAAACAAATGGGAGAGTAAGTGATTGTCTTTTCCATAACAGGAGGATTTTAGTCTCCTGTGCAAGAGTCTCCTTTTCCCTATATTGATGAATGTGAAAGCAATTGTTAATATTTGAGTGAGTCAGCTCAAAAATAATGGATATGCTGCTTATCATCTGTGATTGTCACACTCATTTCTTTGAAACATAACAGAACTCAAGGCTTAAACAACCCCAGAGGGGAACTACAAAGACTCACAAGGAAGTACAAAACATTTGTGTGGTTTTATTTCTTTTGAATGAAAAAGCTGGGCATTTTGTGTATGAAATGATTTTAATACTACATGAAATCACTAAAAAAATACAAAATTTGATGAGGCTGAATTCATTGACATATACATGATTATTTAATTCCACATATGATGTCTTATATTGAGGAGTTCAAAGTGACTTTAATTCTTTATCAGTTGATAAACACATTGACCCAAAGCAAGTCTATAGTAAATGAAGTCGAAGTTCTACAATTTTTTTCAGTAGCTTGAAAAAAAATGTATAATGGCTCAAAGAAACTGAAATGTTCAAATGAATCACTCATGAGTGACACCTGGTTCTCTTATGAATAGAGATTCTGCGGTCGTTTTGTTGTTTGTGAGGTTGTTTTAAGCTTATGATTGATCAGCTCCACGTCGGACTTCTCCTGGCAGTGGGTGAAGCAGCCTGATACAGTGCAATGACTGTGATTTCTCTAACAAATGTTGATGAGCGGGACAGAGAAGTATGAGCAGCTAACTCTCAGATAAACTCTGAGCCATGGGGTACAGGAACCACAAAGAAACCGGCAAATTCGCCCTTCTTTCTTTTGATGAATCTCTGCTGCTCAGATATGCAACTGTCAAATACCACGTGTGACTCCGCCTAGCTCATCACAGGGCGTAGGCAGCTGTTAAAACATCCCTTTTGCTACTATTTACATTCTTCGTGGTTAATTTTCATCATTTCATATCAGGCACTGCTTTCCAGGAAAATTGGATTAAGATGTCAATAGGCCAGCTCTCTAATGCTATTTAATACTTAATACACTTATTTGATATATAATTGTGATTCAGTACAAACAGGGGATCGGTTTCTCCTTGAAGACACCTACTGGTTTCTGCAAAATGGCTGATCAATTTCCTTACGTAAAAGGGAGAAACACTTGCATACAGTTTGTACACATATTCCTTTTTGCATTAAGTTTAGATTACTTATAATACCTAATATGAGGCAAATTAACTGCTATCCTGTGATGTGTAGGAGAAAATACTATATAATCAATACAGATGCAGCTTATGTTTTTCAAATATTTTGGAGTACATAATTATCTGTGCAACTCACAGACAAAAAGCTGAGCATATGTGACTGCAATGTGTACTATTTGCATGGGTCACATGCTAATACTATGTTATTTTGTACAAAACACTTGAGCATCTACGCATTTTAGCATTCACAATGTGTCCTATGTCTTTTGATGACTGTATGGAATTAAACAGACTTAACCAAAAACCAATAGGTTAACAATGCACATCAAAGTTACCATTAATTCCCATCCAAAGAGTATTGATTTCACATTTTAAGCTTTGAATTTACTTCTGATGGATTTATTTATTTATTTTTGATTGAGTGTTATTGGTTGTGTGTGACTATTGTTATATTATTTATGGCATATTTGATTAACTCTACCATATGTTTCAAGAAAACATTTGGTTATAGTGTCACTGCTTGGTCACCCAAGAAGACATTTCAGCCAGGTTTATACTTACATTATTTTTGTGCATCAATCATTGGTTATTTGGTAAATAATTAAAATTCCTCAAAGATATTATTATTAAAATTATGCATTTATAATTATCTACACTAAGAGTACTGAGCTTTTCATCTTTGCAGAATGAAACATGATTGTAAAAGAGAGAAAGTATTGCCATTTGTCCAATTTTGCAACACATTTTACAAGCACTCTTTTCAAGAAGCTATTTAAGAAATGATGACATATAATAATAGCTAATATTTGTATAGCACTTTCAGGGCCAAATTATGACCCAAGAGCTTTACAATTCTTAGCTCATTTATTTTAACAACCAACCTATGCACTCAGTACTATGATTATAATTCCCCAAGGCTTAGCGTGGTTGAGCCTGTTACCCATGTAACTCATTTAGGGCAGGATGGATGTTAAACCTAGGTCATAAGTGAAGGCAGCAGAACATATGCCGTAGTTTCCATATTAATTGTGAATATTATGTGGGATTCATTACTATTTTCATATGATGATGTACTTTGACCTCTGATGTTCTCATTCAGCATCGAGATCTGCACTCAGAAGCCATAAACTAAATTATAATACTGTGCAGAAAAAAAAATCACACAGTGAATGATGTGATTACACATTTTAATTTTGCTAACCAGACACAGAGTATTGGGTGTCATTTCTAATAAATCATTGTTCATTTAATTTAAAAACTATCTGACAAAATGTCTTTATAAAGGTCTTTAAATTTTTTAATCACTTAAATATTGGTAATGTAAATTATTTTTAAGGATTATTCTTCTGTATATGAATTTTATTTAACAAACAAAATTTTTGTTACTTTAAGACTAAGTTACTACAATGCAGTTAGGACTCAAACATAAGACTCTCCTGCTTCAGCCTCCATACTGCTGGAATTACAGGTACACATCACTGTGCAGACTTAATGATGTGTTTTGATAAATGCAGACACTTATGCAAACACCAGAGCACAACAGAGGTGATTTTTGTCATCTTCAAACTTTCTGTGAATCACTTCCTGATAAATTTCACTACCATAACAGTAGGATTTCCTTTATTAGAACAATAAATTTGCTTTCATCAATTTTCAGATGAAAGGGTTTAACATCAAATATATGTTTGTATCTGATGTTCATACTCAGTAGATAGTGTCATGATCAGCAAAATTTTGTATCAGTACTTTGCTTTTGTTGCTTAGAAATGTTTAACTGCATAAATATGCCATAATTTGTCATTTTTCTGGTGATAGACACACAGTTTTTATTCCAGTTTTTGCTTTATGAACACAAAAAATATTGCATATAGTTTCTCCTGTATCATCACCAATATGTTGTATTTAAGTTTCTCAAACTTTTAAGATTTTGATTCTAACCAGAATATGTAAACATTCTCTTTGATTTCCATTCTTAGTGATATTTGGGATAATTAGATATTCAAAGTTTTGCTTATCTGAAGTGTGTGTAGTGCTATGTCCCTGAGGCTTAAATTCACAGTGCTCAATTCTTTGGTTTATTGGCTTTTATTTTTTTACATATTTTGAAATGTATGATGAAATCATTTTGTCTGATATTTAAGATGTTTATAGTTTTATTTTAAGATTAAAAATACTTTTTGTGGTATATATACAAACCATTAATAAAAAAAGTCATTTTAAACCTAATTATTAGTTACTCCTGAGAAACTATTCTGAAGATAACAATAAGCAATATATTAACCATTCTTAATTTTCTATTACAGTTTTTGATACTGTATGTTTGTTTTTATTGTTTTTCTCACTATAAAATAAAAAAATACATTATTGTAGTTTCTAAGTCAATATATGTATCTATATACACATGTATATATTTATATATCCACACACTTATTATTTAGTGTCATGAATTAGAAATTAGAAATAATACAAGAATAACAAAGCAAAGAACTAGTTAAATATGTTTTCTTCTAAGGTGGAGGGTAGTTTAAATGCATAGAACACTATCTAAGAATTGGATTTTTTAAATTTCAAATGCATATTTGATTTTATATCAAAACATATAATGACTGCAATATTTTGCCCAATTTTATGTCATTCCCATACAACAAATACAAACTTCAGAAAGTCATTTCTGGGTGTCATTCAGATACCCTTGAGAAATAGACACATAATTTCTGTACACAAGGCACTGACAACATGTACGTTCCAATACAGAGGTGTCATATGTGACCTGAGGTAACTCAAGGACTCAGCTTTCATACTCCAAAGGGGAGAAGCAAGAAATAACCTGCCAAGCCAATGCACTCTCAAACTTTCTGAATAAATTATAAGCATTTATCCAACATCTATACTGGCAAGTTAATTAATGGACATATATATTAAAAAGTAGAGGATAGCTCAATTAATAAAATTTAAAAATAAAAAGGATTAGTGGTGTTGAAATATTTATGTTGTTTAATGTGTTGGTATTAGAAATTATAACTAATCAAACATTTTAATTATCTTCCTACTCTCCTTTTCTGGGATTCGGTCTTATTACGATAATTTAAAAGTCAGCTACAATGACCACAATTATCTTTTATAAAATATAACTTTTTTTCTGATGGGGTAGCGGAATTTGTACTGAGTTGAAGAGACACCTTGAAGATTACCACTGTTGAAGAAATAAGCAGCTTCATTTGAATGTAAGAGACATGTAACTGTGTCCATTGAAAAGATACACTATACATCATGCAAAATGTAGTCTATAACCTTACATTTTAAAATATGCATATGAACTATACCGTTGATTCTACCTACATTGTACAGCAATGAAAACTTCAAATCCATGATGAACAAAATTCCATTTTATATTTCTCTTTTCTACCATGATGATGATTTTCAAGACCCTTAATATGGAGACAAATTCTGTTGGCTGGAGAAGAAGCCAAAAGAGTAACACCCACCACACACACTTTCCTGTGGGTTCTGCCTCCCAGAGTCAGATGGCGCACTGGTTCGTGGACATGCCAGCTTGGGTAGGTTCACAATCTTGGGCAGGTGCTGCACAGGTGTTCATCAGCCCTGGTGAAGAGAAAAGGCTGGTCAGAGCTAACGCTAAGTGGTGAGGACACTGTGTTTAGTGTGATTACAGTGCTAGAAAGCCTTTCACAGTCTTGTCATCAGCTAGGGCTCAGTCTTAACACCACTGACAGACCTAGGTGAGATTCTTGGCTTATAGCTGTGAAATTTGCCCAGTCGGATAACATATCTGCAATGTTTATGCCCCCCTGAATCTACCATAGTTCACAGCTTCCTCATATTGAGCCCTTTGGGAGATTCAGGTTTGTGTGTCTCCTTGGGGATCAGAAGATCGATTCTGTACTGTGCCTGGCAGAAAAGAAAGCAGCTCATCTCTTTATCACGCTCAGATTTCCTCCTGTAATCTGCCCCATTCCCGCCTCCCAGTCTAACTTGTGCTGCACCAGGCAAGTGGTCAGGTCAGCCTGTCCTTTCAACACACGCACAGCTGCTCCTTGTGCCTCTAAGTTGCAAACCTTTTTACTCCTAGCAATTTGTTTGACCTGATTCCACTAGTAATATAGGTGGACCACTAGCACTTAAGACAGTGCTTCTTAAAATGTTTAGTTTTTGGTTTCAGGATCAACCCCTGGTAGAAACGGGAAGGGAAGAAGAAGCTGGCCATGAGCACCAGTCCAGGTCTCAGCTGTGACATTACTGCTTCATGACTTCAGCCAAGCCCTACTCTCTTAGTGCTGTGGTTCTCATTCATCCAGCAGAGTAACAGGACACAGGCTCTTTCCATGTGTGCGGAAGCTGAGATGTTCCTAGAACTCACTGATTCTGTTTGGCAGTCTTCACTGGATGCCTGGTATGGGGCCTGCAGAAAGCCAAGAGGAATGGGGAGGGGTGCAGAGACAGAGACACAGACAGAGAGAACATTTGTCAAGGCACAGTTTGTCTGAAAATTTCATCCCTGTCCTGCACTTCTGAGAGGGAGGAGGCTGGAGAGTGCCAGGCTGAGAGGCATCAGTGAAGAGCACAGGCTCCCAGCAGCAGCGGAAAAGCGCCTGAGACCTTCCCTTCACCGTGCAGAAGCAGCCCTCCGGGAGGCCTGAAGAGGAGCAGCCAGCCAGCATGAATTTTAAACCCTACTATTTAAAAAGAATTGAGGATGAATAAAAATGTGTTAGGCACAGAATTTCTTCCGTAGATGGGGGAAAGAAAGTGGAGGATACCAACATACATCAACATATTAGTGTGTAAAGTTAGAGTTACCACTGTCGATTACAAGATTGAGAGGGGAAAGCTCAGGCTAGGGATTCCCCAAAAGTCAGGACAACTGCAAAGCAGTGGAACTATGAAGAACCTGGTTTGCCTTTTCTGCCTGCTGCTTGTGTTCATACCTCGCTCAGGCTAAAGCAATGGGCCAGTGAGGCACACATTACTGATTGATGTAGACACAGCTAAATTATTTTAGCGAGATTTTTTTGTGGTAAAAAGAAAATTATGTTCCTCATTCCATCCTCAAAAAAGAGAGTCTGAGCTTACTGTACTTGGTAATTATTGCCATCTGGGATTGTTAGATCTACCTTAGAGATTCCCTATAGAGGAGGAGGTGGGGTGGGGACAGGAGTAGTTTATAAAATGAAAAGCTGGTAAAGGGATTCCCAAAGGGGCCCAAACACAAGTTCACACCAATGAGGGTCTGCCACACACACTTGTGCACACACATTTACACATTTTAAAGTATGGACGGTGTAAGAGCTCTAAGAACACTTTGGGAATTTTCTGAAAGAAACCTGATCCTAATTCTTTTCACTCCAGGGCAAAGAGCAAAGCCCCACATACTCAGAGGGCTTCAGCAGCCATTGAAGAAGTGGAAAGGACTGCAGCTCCCTGAGATGTGATTTAAAATGAAAATAATTCTGAATTATTATTCACGAACCATACACATATCAAATTCAAGAGCTTCTTTCCAGACACACTGCTTGCAGAATTTTTGAGACGTAAAACTCACTGTCACTTTCTCTTTGTTGGTGCTCTGGCTGAGGCCCCCCCTTTTATGGTTGGTAACGTGAAAGCAATCAGATCGTTTTCCCAGCAGTGGAGTCAAGAATCTTCACCTTTGGTAGTGCCCCTTTAGCACTCACATCATTGTACTGCTCTAACACTGCTGAGCTGTATCTCCTACTCTAGCGTGTTCCTTTCGTGGCTCTTGGGCCTCGTCACCATTCTGTCCCTGTGCTGCGTCTAGGACAGTACACAGCAGGCATTTTCATTCACCTGCAAGGAATGAATGAGTGAAAGAATGAAAGATTCCCTGCTTCACGAGCCGCTGTGACGTACTCCTAATTGTGATGCCCGCTCCCTACCTTGCCTCCCTTGGCGCTCTGAGGCTTCACAGCCACTTTTTACTAGGTTTATGATGGCATGTTCTCATTCTCTTACAGAATAAATTTTAATCTCCTTAGGATGGGAATCATTTTCTCAGATGTCCACTTCTTTCTCCCAGGTGAGGAGCAGGTCTTGGCATAGGTGGTGCCATGATTTTGATTGTCCTATAGCTCAGAGATCTCTGCGGAAAGCCAGCTCATTCTTTCTTTATGTATTCACTCATTGATTCCTTATTCCTGTACATCAGCAGGTGATCTGCCAGCGTCCCACAAGACACCATACTCTTCCCTGAAACAGAGGTGGGGAATCCATTGGCTGATTCTCTGGCTCCTAAGCACAGACAGGCCTTGCTTCTTACATACTGATTTATTGCCTCCTGCATCCCCACTTTGTTATATAGTGATTGGTAAATGGCAGAAGAGATAGACCACATGCCTAAATTACAAAACAGAAATTATAGGACAATTTTGTGTGCCATTTTCACCTCACTAACCTAGAAAAAATGTCTAATCTCCATGGTATCCTTTATTTTTCTAAGATCTAGATTCTGAACAGGTCAAGGAAAAAGAAATTCCTTTGTAAAACTCTCAAGCATTGACCTCGAACAGCTTACTTAAATTTTCTTTCCTAGGTTTCTTCAATTTAAAGAGGAAATGATAACGGAGATCGATTGTGCCATGCAGCATAAACAGCAGAGAAGTTAAGAAGCCATGGTACAAAAATAGCAGTGACTGCGATCCTCGTAAGAAGAGAAGAAGCATCTCCCTGGGTGTTTTCTGGGTACACGTTTCACTCCACAGTTCAGAAAGAAGCGCATGTAGACAACGGTGGCCTCCGAGCTAAGAAGGCAAGAGCTTGGAGCTTGAAACTGTGGGAGCTACTGGGGAGGGTGAGGATGACATGTGACCTTGGAGCATTGCATAGTTGATAAAGCTGCAGAGAAATCTCCTGCATTTTTTTTAGATGATGATATTTTGATCACGAATAAATCACCACTAGTTTAGAAAAAAAAAAAAAGAAAATGAGCGAGCAAACAAAAACCCTTTGCCAGTGATGAGGATTCCTAGACCTTAGGCGAGGTAGACATTTTAGCTGTTTCAGCAGGACCCAGACCTTCTGGAACAGCTGAGGTCATCAGTGGTGTGGCAGCAAGGGGACTGCTTTGGTTGTAAGGCTACAACAGACCTCTCTAGAAAAACAGGGAGAAAGCGTCTAAAAGATCGATCTGACCTGCTAGTAATGAGACACTTGTTTACAGGAAGAAGAGCAAATCCAGTCTACAATGATGTACTGAGCACAGTGTTTGCTGCTTAATCGTATTGTAGTGTATAATTATAAAAGCAGCAAAATTTGAGCTATAATATGAAAAAAAATCATGATTTAATTAAGATGAATTAAAACAATGAAGGTGAGAGTAGCATACAAGGACCTAATGGAGGGATAGTTATTTAAATATGTTCCATAATTCAACAACTCAAGATTATTACAAGAAAATGAAACGAAACAAATGGAATAACTAGAAACAGACAGTAAAGCAGCTTAAGTGAAATTCTCCTCACTGGGATTAAAACCATATGAGAGACTAAAGAAAATTTAAAAAGTCCCTGAACTTGACAAATGTGACACAGCTGGAACCTACTAGAATCACAGGATTTTTAAAACAAACTAAAATATGAACACGAACATTCTGATTTATAGGATGTTAATGTTATTTTAATTCTCTAAAGGAGAAGAAATAATTTTCTAAAATTTTCAAAGTTTGAAATAAACATCTATTAACAGATCAACAAAAATAAGCACTGATACAAAATGTCACAATTATGTAGTCAAAGGAACAGAAGCAACCAAAAAGACCAAAATGAGATTTCAGAAAACATGCACTCCAGAGAACTAAGACAGATACACTTGAGTCATTTGTAGGAAAATGGATGCATCTTGAGATAATAATTTTAAGTGAAATAAATCAGAAACACACACTTATATATTGCATAGTTTCTCTTATATAACAAACCCAAAATATAAAAATATAGTGAATTAAAACACAAACAACAAGTGAGAATATAGATTCTTCTCAAATGGGAAGAAATAGAGGGAGGGCTACAGAAGGGAGAGCTGGGGGATGAAAAGGGAATTAAAATGTATTATGTACGAGTGCCGACTCCACACAAGGAAAGGAGACATTATGCACTCACTGCAAATGTGGATTAAAAAAAAATAATAATAAAAATTTACCAGAAATGAGCACATCTATCTTCTGCTGAATAGGTAGAGAGCGCATGACCCTCACTATGACAACAAAGGGTTGGATGAACTATAAAAGAATAATTGTCTGAACTGAGCAGAGACTCAAGTTCATAAGATAAGCAGCTTTAAAGCTAGATGAAGTCAGGACCTTAACTGAGGCCAGAAATCCTGGGGCAGCAGGAGGAGGAGGCCTCCAGGCAGACAGGAAGCAGCTGCTGAGAGGTTTACAGAATTGCTGAAGGCCCAGAGAATTTGAGCAGGGACACATGGAACTCTTAGGGGAATCTGAACACACGGGATGCATGTTCTTTACATGAGATCTCAGGAAAAAGAAGGAAGGCAAGAAGAATCCAGCTAAAACCTTGTTTGCTATTAGAGGGATGGAGCTGGAGCTGGTGAGTCACATGATTGTAAAACAGACA